GAGAGAGGGGGGGGGATCAAGTATAAATTCCCAAAATATGCAGCCTTTAAAGTTCTCTAGAACTGTTCAAGATAGTGAAGAATTGTGGAGGATGAGAGAAGGCTTGAAAATTCAAAAAATATGGCTGTATTAAGTCATGGGGAACTTGTCTAATTTAATTATTGGTCTTCCATACCTTTTTCGCCATTCCTATTTTGTTTTTTCATCAAAACAAATAAAGAGTTATTTTATTTGCCTAATAAAGAATCCTGAAGAACTTTAATACATGTGCATTGTCAAAATTAATAATTGCCTTTTTGTGGATTTTTGAGATGGATTTTAATTCTTTGGATCATAGCCTCTTCCTCCATGGGATTTGAAATGAACTTTGAACAAAGACATAACCCCACACATTTAATTTGGCTGAAGAACTAGACTTAATTTCTTAAAATGTTAAACTTCAAGTTTTTCCCCAAAATTTCCTTTAGTGTTTCTACAACTTCTCCACTCATATTTAGCCATGGAGGACTGCAGCCCTATATGTCAGAATTAGCCCTACCCAACATAACAAATAAGTAAATGTTTGTGTCTGCTTTCCAAAAATAGATTGCATAATTATTAATCCTTTGTGTTGTGCAGTGCAATCCAGTCTCAAATATATGCCAGGTGCATATGGGGTTGGAATGGGCAAAAGCTTCTTGTGTGGGCATTACTGCCATTGTGCCAGCACAACCTCTTTGGCTGCCTATTACAGATCTGCTTATAAAACTAGAACTGCCAATGGAACTGCTGTATTAGCTGAGTTCAGCTAGCAGAAGATCCAAAAGAAGATGTGGAGAAGGGGAAGATTGGAGCTGTGTTATGCCAGATCTAACCCCCTGCCCCCCCAACTCACACTCATAGCCTTTGTGCTGGCACAAAATTAGGACACAGTCAAGGTAGTTCTAAGTAATTTCCAACTTTTCAAGGCTGGAAGGAGTTTTGATTCAGTGCAGCCTCAGCTGGTGTAGGACCAGTAAAATATCAGCCATCTTGTTTAGTACCCTTACAGTCTTAGTCAGTATCCTACTTCAGTGTACATCATTTCTCTTCTAGGTAAAATATCTGTTTTCCGATAAAACAGGCACCTTAACATGCAATATTATGAACTTTAAGAAATGCAGCATTGCTGGAGTAACCTATGGGTATGTACAGCTTTTGTAAATTCTATAGTTGGTTAATCTATCCATTTTCTTTGAATGACAGATTCTTTAGTTTTCTTTATGGAATTTAAATAGTTAATGAAGAGAAGGGAGGGGAGGGGAGATTCAGTGTATGTAAACACGTGAGCCTATAAAGCATGTGAGCATATAAACATATATTGTTGTTTGTGTATTGATTATTCATGCAAGAACTCAACAAGAACATATGTTTGCAAGTGCAGCCTGTTTCAAGTTTCATGACAAAAAGATATGGTGACTAGAGTTGAGATTCTGACAGAGAGTATCTAATTTCACTGCCTTAGGCCTTGACTGATTGCAGAAAAGAGAAGCTGCCTTCGTGTTTTATGGAAGTCCCTACTGAAAAGGAAGACCTCATTTATGGCTAGGGTGGGTTGCTGGTTTCCCTTCAAACAGTGCTGGACTACAGTCCCCACAGTGTAGTTGTTATTCATTTTCGGAGGGAATCCAACCCCCAGAACTCCCTAGGCAGAATTCTGGGAGTTCCAGACCACAAACCCATACCTGTGGAATGAGACACCTGTATTTCACTCACCTGGACCAGGACCTGCCTCAGAGATTGCATGGCATTCTGAGGTGTTCACTTCCTGTTGCTAATATATGAAAAAAGAAGCTATCATCTCTCATGGTGCTTCCTGGGAGTTGTAGTCCTGCTGCCTTTGAGCCTCTACAGATGGCACCTCCCACAGAACGACTGCTCCTAGGAAACACTGTCCCAGCTTTCTTTTTTGTACATTACTAAGAGGACATGAAGGGCTCAGGATCTTTGAGGTGGGCACTGGTTCACGTGAATGAGATGTAAATGTCTCTAGGCATGGGTCTGTGGGTTGACGAATTCTGGAAGTTGGAGTTTCCCATCAAAGAAAAGAAAAAGAAACGAAAGGCACATCCTTAACTGTCATTTCCCCGAGAGCAGAATCTGGATAACTGTGTTGTAATGCACAATGCTGTGGAATGGGGGCAGGGAGAAGAGCATAGAGGCAGGTTCTTTGGCCTTAGCTTAAAGTTTCTTCACTCTTATTTCCAAGTCTCTTTACCATATCAATTTATTGGCCCCTTTGTATCATGCCCTTTTATTTAGGTATTTATTTTTACTGAGTTTGAGAATGTGATCCTCTCCTTTGTGTCCTTTAAATGGCATCTCCTGCTTTTATCATGCAAGTCAGTGTGGTGCAGTGGATAGAGTGTTGGGCCTAGGATTAAGCACATTTGACTTCAAATTTCTGCTTGGACATAGAAACATATTGGGAGTAGCAATGGTAGCATTCCTAGAACTTCTCTCATTCCTTGAAAACCTGTTAGGATTGCCTTAAGTCAGAAGCAACCTGGTGGAGCATAACAACTCATAGTGGACTCAGGCTAATAAAGCTGTTATTAACAATAGGAAAGAAAAATATCTCAGCCTCAATCAAGTGCCTGGATAATTCCATCAATGTGTGGTAGAAATAAAGTCATTCATCCCGTTGACAGTCCCAACTAAAGTTATCCCACAGAATCAATGGAATTTACACAGGATGATTTACCAAGTTCCCATTGATTCAGTATGTCTACTTTCATTGGTACTAATCAGATTTAGGCCTAAGTGGTTAATTAAAATTTTACATCACTTTTGCTTTAATAAAGATGTTGGGGGGGTTTACTTTGGGTCTGTCTATAGGCTTGCAGCTTTTAAATGTGTTTTTTTCTGGTATTAAACAAGTTGTGCAGAAGTTGTGCATATTTCTTCTCTCTTTTTTAGTCATTTTCCAGAACTGGCAAGAGAATGTTCATCTGAAGAGTTCAGGTGAGTAAATATCAGCTGGGAGTGCTGATAGTTTGAAACAGTCCAGAAGGTAATCTTTCTCATGAGATAATTGAATTGCAAAGAGTTAACGTTGCACACTTAGTAGAGGCACAGTTGACCATCCATTGGGCAGGCAAGGATGTAGGTAGGAAGGGGAGCTCTGGGGACAAATTTGCACTACCTCATGTAAATTCATTCTCGATTGTCCCAAATTTTCACTCAGTAGTATATAATCAAAGTCATTTTGAAACTGCTGTTTTTTAACAATTGGGATTGTTATCCTTGCTGATTTAATTCAGATTGCTGGGAATCAGTTATTTAGATACCCATTCTGAAGTTGAAAGGAAGTGTGATTTCAAAAACAGAGGGAGCAGTGGGAAGAGCTGCACTGGGACAAGGATGAGGCACCACCCTTGGGAATGCCCTTAAATGTTTGGGGCTACATCCTTTTGCTTCCTTCAGAGTTGTGCTCCTAAGAAAAGATGGGTCATAATGTTTGATTAAGACACTTGATATATACATGTGGCATGTTATATATATTCTGCATTTAATGAATGGAATTATGCATTATATATTGCATTAGGACAGGAGATCATAGCTTAGTGATAGAGCACATGCTTTGGGCATATAAGCTTCCAAGTTCAATCTCTGGTATTTTGAAGTACTATTAGAAAAGTCTTCTGCTTGAAAACTTAGGGAGATGCTGATAGTTAATGTTGACAATGCCAAGCTAGATGGACCCATGGTCTTGATTCAGTAGAAGGCAGATTCCTATGTTCTTATATTAAGGTAATTGATAATACCTCTCCTTTTTTGCTTGTATTTTACTCTTAGCCAGCTTCCTCCTTCTACCAGTGAATCTTGTGAATTTGATGATCCAAGACTGCTACAGAACATTGAAAATGATCATGTAAGCCCACGAATAGCTCTGCCATAGTTTGTTAATATATTTTTATGTAAATTCATAATAAACACCTTTATGAATTTAAATTCATAATAAACATTGGCCATGACAGGATGTGGATTAGAGATAGGCAAAAATTGCTTCGTGCCAAGTTGTGAGTAATTATGCATTCCCTTCCCCCTCCACCCAGCCAGCTTTCCCTGACATGTGCTGCACAGCTGACATATGCTGTACATCTCCTCTTCACATGACTGTCCAGTTACAGCAGCAGTGTGTGCTTCTCTCCTCTGCCTCCTCTGGCAGCCGGTCACTCAAACAAGGAGACGGGGCAGGGATTCCTGCAGTGCTGCCTTTGAGTGGCCAGCTGCTGGAGGAGGGAAGAACGTGCTCCTGGTGCGACCGGACCGTCATGTGAAAAAGAGATAAGCAGCATGCACTAGCTGGTGAGTGGGGGAGCTGGCTGGGGAAGGGGGAGGGAAGGGAATATGTAGCACCTGTGATGGTGCACCAACAATCCTGCAAGAACCTCCAAACCAAGGGTGGGGTTGAAGAAGGGAATGCTGATAACTTGCAACAACCCAACACAAAGCAATTTGGGCCCTCTCTACTGTAAACCCTTAGGAAGTTTGTCCTTGCTCAGTAAACTAGGCAATGCAAAACAAAGCTCTCCCTATGAATCCTCTTGCTGCACTATTTCAATATTACCTTACATTTTTCAGGTTCTTATTTATGTTTTAAAAAGACTAGTACACTCCCCCTGCAAAAGTTATTTCCACCTAACATAATAGGAAATGTGGGGTTCTTTGCCACCTATCCCCTATCCATCAGTATATGTGACAGGCATTTACCTCAGACCTGAGGTCATGTTTTTGACATTTTCGATTGGCATTGAGCAGAGGAATAAATATAGCAGAGCTGCTGACACTGCATGTCAAGGAGAGAACAACAGCAACGTGGAACAGCTCAGGTGATAAGATGGCCTCTTTTGTTGCTATAGAACTGGGTGGGTGGATTCTATTGTAAGCTGTGAAAATGGAAGACAAAAGGCAGACTGAATAATTGATTTTAATATAGAGAAATGATGGGTTGTTCCTCTGAGGCTGGGTGGCTGAGGAAAGTCAGACTGTTTTGTATTATTTGAGGGCAGGTGGGTGGATAGATAGCTGGTATGCTTATCATCGGAACAATGAAGGCCTGTAGCAGCTTGGACAGAAACAAAGGAAATTATTGGCCTAATCTGAAAAGGCTGCAATTACACACTTACCTCAGAGACGAGATCCAATAATCCATCTTGTTTAATTATATTGTATTTGCCAGGAGCTAGAATTAGAGAGGAGGCAGGCAAACACAAGAGAGTTCAGGAGAACTCCATTCACCTTTCTTGGTTCTAGCCTGAGGAGACTTTGAAACACTTGTGGGGTTACAGGTATTAGCCAGTATTGCATAGTGGCTAGAGAACTAGACTAGGGCTTAGGAGACCTTGGGTTCAAATTCCCATTCAGCCCTGAAATGTTGATTCACTTGCTTTCTCTCAGTCTAAGGCAAATAGTGGTGGTGTGTGAGGAAAAAGGGGGAAGCAGGAGTTGCGTGAGCTCCTCTGAGGAAGGGTGGCATGTACATACAACAAATAGATTTTAGGGTGGCGCTCTTTCTTAACGCTGTCCTAATGAGAAAAGAGCAAAATCCGATGAGACTACAAACTACAAGGTATAAATTCACGAATGAGCAACCAGGGAGTTAACTGACCAAATAGAACATGTACGTAAAAGCTGAGCTTCTTGGGGACATTACATAATGGAACATAGATCTACATCTACATATTGCTGAATCTTAATCTTAATCTTGTTAAATTGTCATTCTGTATATGCCTAATAAAGGTTTCTGACTCTGACTCTGACAAATAGATGAACAGTAAATAAGACTAGGATTCATGGACCTAACATAATTCTTGCCTTGTAGCCCACAGCTACCCACATCCGAGAATTCCTCACACTTCTGGCTGTGTGTCACACTGTTGTTCCAGAAAGGGATGGAGAAAAGATAATTTACCAGGCATCCTCTCCAGGTCAGCCACGGCAGCTTTCTTTTGGGGGCATGGAGAGCGAGAAGGGACAGGAGACTGGAGCCCACAAGGCTTTACTGGATAGGACAGGCTCCGTTCTGTGATAGCCAGTGTGGGGTGTGTTTAATAACAGCTTCTTGTGGCTGGCTGCATAATCCTAGTTCTTGAGCTAAACCTGGAGCCCTCTTCAGATGTTAGTTTTTGAAAATGTATGGAGGGAACCTAGGTATGTGTGTCATCCCCTCCCCTCTTCTCCTGCTCTCATTGATGGAAGAGACCTGCAAAGGGCCTGTTTACTCCACATGCTTACACAGCTTTGTGTAAGGCTGAGAACCCTGACTAAGCAGCATTCCCTATATTGTGGAGTTCTGTAACTGTGATCATTTGGACCTAATAATTGTTCCTTGCAGACTTTTACCATCAACACAGGGAGGTTACGAGTCATGGGGATGGAGCTGGAGTAGAGTCCTCAGCTCCTTCAATATATGTACAAAAAATCAACACCTGAATAGGGCGTTGGCATGAAAGACAGGGACCTTTGTATTATAGTAAATAGATGCAGAAGGTACAACATGGTGCCCACATGCTTAAACAGCTTTGTATAAGTCTGAGAACCCTGACTAAGCAGCATTCCCTGTTCTGTAACTGTGATCATTTAATAACTGTTCCTTGCAGACTTTTGCCATCAACATAGGGAGGTTGCGAGTCATGGGGATGGAGCTGGAGCAGAATCCTCAGCTCCTTCAATATATTTACAAAAAATCAACACCTGAATAGGGCGTTGGCATGAAAGACAGGGACCTTTGTATTATAGTAAATAGATGCAGAAGGTACAACATGGTGATAATTGGGGTTGCAATTAAAATGGCATACATATGTATCTTTTATCACAGTCCTTGAAGCATATGCTGTTTTACGGCATGGGTTATAAAATCCACTTTCTAGACAAATTTGGCTCCACCTCTTTAAAGCTATAAGTGAGTGGCTATGAACCTTTTTATTCTTCTGAGATTGTGCTGTGGATTAAAGCTTTTCCCCCATTTTGTTGTTGTTTTTATGTATTTTTTTTCCTCCCTGTGGTTTAATGTATGAAATTGATTTCAATCATTTGAACAATTTTTTAAATTGTGCTCTGTGTTTCAGAAATAGCTTCTTTGAATTCATTTCATAAAGAAAAAACAGGACATAAACCTTCAAATAACTAAATAAGCAAAGCAGTAGAGTAAGAAAGCCGCTGCCTCCTTATTAGAACCCTATGGCACAACATCTCATAACTGCTCATAAAAGACTGTAGCATCAGGGTACTCAGACATTTGTGCTGAATTTTATCCATAAAATCAGTCTCTTTTCTCTTTACAGATGAAGGAGCCTTAGTCAAAGGAGCAAAAAGACTTGGCTATGTCTTTACTGGAAGGACTCCTCATTCTGTTATCATTGATGCGGTAAGCATGGTTCAAAGGCATTCTTGTAAGCCTCCCTGAGAAGAATTCGATACGGGATGCTGTAAAAAATAGTGGCCAGAATCTTATCATTTGGTTACGTTCATGTAAATGCCATGGTATAAAGTGCAGCAGCAAATTTCCACCAAATAACAAGTTGTCACCTGTATCCCTCATGTGCCAGTTGCATGATGAAGAATATAACTGGCCGTTTGCCACTGCAGTTTATACCATTGCACTTATGCTGGGGTAACTCACCGATAGGATTCGGGCCAGTCTAAAACACTAAACAAGCAGCACAAGGCTTTGTGTTTCTGGGAAGGCAAGTCTAAACAAGGTGGCTAAAGCACCTGTCTAGTAAACCATGGGACCTATTCTCAAGGTGCCTGGTTGTGCCTTGGCAGCTAATCTTCAAGGGCAGCAGCTCAGTGGCTCCACAGGAAGACTGAGAAGAATATACAAAATCCTGCAGAGTTGTAACCAGTCTGTATAGATTGAGTGAGGAAAAACCTCCCACCAAGAATATAATTAGAGAGTCAGAATTGAGGATGTTCCAGATTTCCCCCAAGCCCCACATTCCATCTATTCTATTCACTGAATGGAGACCACTGAGAAATTCCACTTCGTGCTGGTCTTCATCCCAGTTAGGAGGGAGAGAGGTCCAGGAAGCCAGAAACTCGGAGTTGGCATTCAGAAACACTGGCTGAGTCTGAACAGGAGGGAGAGCTGAGTTGACTTCAGCTTTCCTGCCTACCTGGACATGTCATTGGGCAAAGCAAAACTATAGATGGGAAACCCATGTTTTGGTCAAATAATCCATTGTGTCAGGGAGGCTTATCCAGTCTGCAGGGAGGCTATAGAGTGGGGACTCCAGCACACTACTGCAATGTGAGAAACGAAGCAATGAGAGAAATACAGAAAAGGCCAATGGAGCTGAGGTGTAACGCAGAAAGAAACAAGAAGTTTCTTCAGCATTGCCTAAACAAAATAGTCAATGTGAATAGCCTTGTGAACTAGGCCAGAATATGGTTGTATAATTACATAGAAAGAACATTGGTTGAGTGTGAATGATGGTGTTCAATTGCATGATTGAATTGCAGACTAACACATGCAGTTCTCAAGAGGTTTAAGGTGCAGGAGGTGAAAAAGAGTAGTCTACCAACCAAACCTGTCATTGCCATTGGTCTCAGTGAGAGTCCCATAAAACTGTAAAGTGGAGTTTTATGAAGCATTGACCTAACCAGAGAATTACAGTTGTAAAATGTATATAGAATACATGAATTTGACCTAACTCTGGGAGGCACTGGAAGACAGGAGGGCCTGGCATGCTCTGGTCCATGGGGTCACGAAGAGCTGGACACGACTTAACGACTAAACAATAACAACATGATGTATGCTGTCATATTCTTAAAGATGAATTGCTGGATAGCTCATTGTTTTAGGTAGGCTGGACGTTCCAATTCCCCACTGTGCCTCCTTTACAAGGGCTGGACTTGATGATCCATAGGATCTCTTCCAGCTCTTCAGTTCTTAGATTATGATGATGTACAATTTTTTTAAAAAAAATCATCAATTTTATCCAGCAGAGGGAGCTGTACTCCCATATCTTAGGAATTTGGAAATGCTTGCTTTCCGTACATTGATTTCTCCAGTGTCAGTGTGTTTCTTCTTCTTCCTCTTGTTAATTAATAAAGTTAATTTTATTTCTTGTATATCTGCAGCTAGGAAAAGAAGAAACATTTGAGATCCTTAACGTTTTGGAATTTTCAAGGTGAGTGGTCTTTAATGTGTTTCAGGATCCAAGCATGAAATCAGAGAGGGTAAACAGTTTCCTAGAAATCTCTTGAATATGAGCAGATGTTATAGCAGGGTCCACATTTTTTGTTTAATTTCTTTAACACCTGGAATGCCTGAAGCTGATAGGGCTGAAAACTTTCTTTAACTTAACCTGGAAAATTGGCTTTTGTCTTTGGGCATGCAGACAATGCCGTGCTGAAAATCCACTATGCCCAAACAGCATGCAAGTGGTTGCAGTAATGGAAATATGTTGAACCATAAACTCTTTAGAACCAGATTGTTAGCACCTTGTCCATTATACTCACCTTTTCCATTAGCACGGAAAATGCCAATCCATGAACATTTGGATAAAAATTATCTAAAAACAAGAAAAGACATATATTTAATGTATGATTTTATTCTCCGTAGTTAAAATTATTAGCATAATGATTTGACTGAAGTGTATATATAGACTTGCTTTTGTAATAATCAGTTTAATTATATCTCACATGAGCAATAAAACCTGTGTCTACGATGTCAGTAATTTGTGTGTCAGTATATCTCACATGAGCAATAAAACTGTGTCTACGATGTCAGTAATTTGTGTGTCCTTGCTTGACTGTCTTCATCTATTTCTTTTTAAACTGGCCACATGTAATCAAAACTATTGGTACATAGTTTCTCATCCAGTAAAAATAAAAATTAGTCTCACCATGATGCTAAAATCATCAGTCCCCTACTCCCTAGTGAATGATTTCTTTCTTAGAACATTTTGAATTCTTCTATGCAGTTTTTGTCTTAGAAAGAAATGTGTTGAGTTTTCAAGAGATATTTGAATGAGGTTTTGGTCATCCCTTCCCCAAAACAAAAGAGGTCACTGTCAAAACACTTTGTTGGTGAGGGTCTTTGGAGGGAAGAAGTTCATTAGTTTCAAAATAATGACATGAATTTCATTTGTTTAGAAAAGAAGATTAGGAAGGTCTATTCAAATTTCAGTTGTTGATTATCTGTTTTTCTCAAAGGGTCTGGCACACATTTGTGACACAATTTCTTCCAACCATTAGACTTTCTCATATGTTGTCCATTGTTGTCAGTTACTCCTGTTTCCTGCCATTTAATCTGAAGCGGCGATAGTTGGTAATTAGCACTTTCAGTGTCACTTGTTTCATCAGTCCCATATTTAAATTTCACCAACACATGCGTACATCTAGATGCAGCAAAGTTCTGCCTTAAGTCATGCTTGCCTGAGACAAGTGAATGCTCTTCCCCAAGTCCAGATGGCTGAAGACTCTCAAGCTGGAAAAAAAAATCAGTTTGATAATTAACAGTTTTCTGCCTTGTCAAGATATTAAAAATCTGTTGCCCATCTCCACCACTCTACTTTCCTAATGGCAGAGTCAGTCTGCATCTTAAGGAATGAAAACTGCGAAATAAGTTCAACTGGTGGTTGTGAGTTTGCATCTAAACTTAACATTGGGCTGAGTTTCTAAGTTGTACATGAGTTCTTTCAGTTGCGTTCAGTTCAGTAGAGTCATGAACTACATATTTTTCTGTTCATTTAAAAGTATTCTAGGTGTTCACGAACCTTGTGCTATGGGTAGTGGCTTTATGAACTTGATTAGCATGTATTTCCTGACACTGGGCCTTCAGTTACCCGCCCCCCCATTCCTGCTTATATTTCTTTAGACTATTTAAAAACATTTGTTCTTTCTCTTTAGGTCAAAAACCTAGTGTTGTAGACATTAGTCAGCCTTACACTTAGACTTTTGTGGGTCCCTGTGGTTTTCTTCTCTTATGTGCTCACCTCTCTTCTGCTAGCCAGAATTCTACTTAGTCACCAAGACAAATAAAAAGAAGAACCTTTTTTGTGTGTGTTAGAGCTGATCTCAGGCAGTGTTATTTTTCTGGATATCTCTCAGTCTTGCCTTCTCTCTCCTTCTCCCATGTCTCTCCTGAAACAGTACAGCTTTGGGAACACCATAGAGAGGATGGGCAACTGTAGAATCACTTTAACTGTGGTTGAGGATATCAGTGGCCTATGACATAAGGAGTATTAAACACATGCAACCAAAAATATGTTGATATATAGATATAAAACCAAACCCAGAATCTGCAGGTGGGCAATGCTCTTACAGGATCAGTTGTTCACAAAATATGCAAGTTTCTGAGTTTTCCAGAACTCTTCACCAGGCTCGGAAAAAATGGGGAAAATGGAGAGGGGCTTCTCAATAGGCCATGTGATACATACTGAGAAGCGTGGACTTCATGAGGAAGAGAACTGCATGATTCTCTTCCTCATGAAGTTCCCATTTCTCAATCTGGGAGTGAGCTTTATCGCAGGTTTCTATTTTGTAAAACGCATAGCCAAATTTTTGAACTACCATATCTTCTCTCCCTCTCTTTTAATCACCTAGCCTGCTTAAGATATGTAGAACTTGAATGGTTGCATATTTCCATAGATTTATATTTGATCCTTATATAGATGTTTCATAGCTGTATATTTTGGATTCTGATTTTAAAACATCTTAAACCCTGACACATTTTTGTGGCATAAGGTTATAGGAACTAGAGCCTCGTTTAGCATTTACATGCACGTACACATGCAAACTCATTTATATTTGTGCTTTTTAGTTGCTTTTGGCTCATCTTTTCACAAATACATGAGTTCATCATCTGTGCCATACTAACAACCTCAAGAAGTCATTTTTACAAAAGTAACTTTAACAATGTTTTCCTACCTGGCCAACTAGAGAACACTGTAACTTGCTACAGGTAAATCATAACAGGCATCTTGGTTTTAACTCCAAAAGTTATCTTGACCATGGCCCATTCATTGAGAAACTCCATGTCACTGCCTTACCTTGCTGTAGCACTTATATGACACCAGCACTCATTACTCCAGTCCCCATCCACATCTCAGATCTATTTGCACCTTGCTGGAGGGAGTTGGAATTTGGTTATTCCCTTTTTCTTGCAGAAAAAAGCATGGAGAGATCTGCTTAGTCCCACCCTTGTCCTTCGAAAAAGGAAAATGATCAATCTGGATACTTCTTGTTCAAAGGAATTAGAACATACTTATCTACAGTTCACAATTTTTTTTCCTTTTATATACTGTACTGTATACTGTGGAGCTATAGCTGCACACGTCAGAGAACAGAAAAATGGAGAAGAGAGGACTGGCAGTTAAGAGAGGAAGCACTATGAAGGAAGGGGTGTCTCAAAGGCTCTGGGGTGTGGGGAAAAACAAATTTAGTGGCAGATATAGAACAGATCATCCTCACAAACAAGCTAAAGAAGAAGCATGCAAGATTGTACTTTTCCAACACAACCAGCATACTTTACACTAAGTCATGGGGCAAATGCCAATGTCAGATTTAACAGAATATCAAAACTTGATATGACCAAGAGCTGCGACTAGTACTCCATAAACATTGCCACCATTTGGTCGTTTTTGTTTTTGCTTTTTTTTGTTTTGCTAAAGAAAAGTAACAAAAGTAGTTTTCATAAAATATAAACAAGTCCTTCTTTTCTCTTAGTAACAGAAAAAGAATGTCTGTGATCGTTCGAACTCCAGCGGGGCGACTACGCCTGTATTGTAAAGGAGCTGTAAGTGTCCTGTGACTGTTAACAAGCAAATGGTTGTGGCTCGTTCTGTTGAAGCCTCAATGTTTTATGTCAACATCTGCAACTATGAACAATATTAGGGAAATTCCAGTGCCATTCTTACTGAGAATAGACCTGTCACTAATTCTTGTTCCATTGAGTTTCATTTATCTATTCTTAAGTGCCAGTAATGTTAGATTGTTTGTTTTTTAAGACTGAATTTTGATTTTCCTGGGCATTATCAATGAATAGGTACATTATAATAAAACAATACGCATTCCACTTTCTGGACTAGGGTAGTGTCCATAGGATCTAGCTCTAAAGTCAGAACCATTGGTTCAATAACGCCAGTCTTCTTTTTTGGAGAAAAAGTTCACCATCTGGTCACTCCAGCATGTGGCTACTTTGTGTGTGTATGTAAACTTCCGGGAATGCCTCCATAGCTGTTTATTGGATCCAGATATTGGCAGATTTAATTTTATATTCTGTTATTTCTGCCCCAAAAACAGCACATATGATAGCTACCAACAGGGGAAGTCAAAAAGAACTGCAAGTAAACATAATAAAAAAATTAAGTATTGTGGCATTTTTCTAGCTTCCTTATAGATTCAAAATATTTCCCCTCCTACTTGCAGAAATGTTTAAGAATCAAGTCACTATAAGCATTCTAGAAAGATAGGATTGTTGAACAAATGTCATTAAGAGCATTTCTGCACACACTCCCTGTTTATGTCCTTCTTTGTTGGCAGGATAATGTCATTTTTGAGAGACTGTCGAAAGATTCCCAGTACATGGAGCCAACACTATGCCATCTTGAATATTTTGCCACTGAAGGTAGACATTTGTTTTGAGTGATGCTGGATGCACATTCATGTATGAAAATAGTGCTGTCTGTAACATGTTCCTCCTTGTTCTCTCTCTCTCTCTCATGTTCTGTCTTTCTCCATTAGCAGTAGGCAAATTGTGGCTCTCCAGATATTGTTGCACTGCAACTCAAAGTTGCCCTAGTTAGCAGTGAAGAATTATGGGAGATGTAATCTGACAACATGTGGAAGGCCACAAGTCTCTCACCTTCAGCTTCTCGCTAGAAGTAAAATAGAATGTATGTGTGTGTTAACAATTAAAATTTAAGCTGAAGAGAGGTCCTCCCATCTTTGCTCTCCTGGATTGACCATAGATTGAGCCCTACCTTTAGTGGATGTAGGGAGCCTGCTATTCCTCCTAGTCTAATAGCAGCTTTTGTAGCTTTGCAAAACAAGTGGGGCCAGGCGTAACAGTGAGATGAGAGTGTGCATACAGAAGAGTCAGTTTTTGGTCTTTTAAAACTATCACCTGCCTCAGCCAAAAGAGATGGTGAAGTGGACATTGACAGAATCCAGAACATACTATTCAAACCAGCAATGAAACATAGCTTGGTGGAAACTTTTTAGTAGAAACTAGGGCTACTTTGTGCTCTTGTTTGAAGAAGTGTAAAACACAGGACTTTGAGAGTACAAGAAAAGTCAATTTATTCACTAAGGCTTTCACGGCCGGGATCTAATGGTTGTTGTGGGTTTTTTGGGCTCTTTGGCCGTGTTCTGAAGGTTGTTCTTCCTAACATTTCGTCAGTCTCAGTGGCCCACAA